GTTGAAGAAGACTGCGGATCTGTTGCCCCGTGTGCACAGTAGTGCCCTTCAGAGCAGTTGCCCGTGGGAGTTGCAGCTTTATCTACAGAGCAGTACTTTCCACTTGCGCAGGGCATAGCAGATATAGAGCCTCTTGGGCAAAAGAAGCCCTTTCTGCAAGATCCACCACCGTCAGTCCACTCATTCTCCGGCGCTTCGGTTGAAGCGCCAGAAATGCAGTAATGGCCTTCTGCGCATTCTTCGTTTGGTTCATACAGGCCATCATCAGTGCACGCCCACCCAGGAAGGCAGGGGAGACACGATGCTACGCTCTGGGACCCCGTCAGAGGATTGAAGGTACCTGCACTACACTTTTGAGCTTCCATGCCTGGAATGCAATACTGTCCCTGAGCCGCTCCAAAGGCACAGTAAATCCTGATACGAACTTCTTTAAACATCATGGACAACCTGCGTTTTCCACCTGCATATCAAATGCGTTTTGGGGCGTGCTTCGGATTTGATAGGCATCAGTAACTCACTTGTGGACAAAGTTTGGCTTCTGTGGATGTGCAAGCAAATCCTGCCGGGCAGCTCTCACATGACGCCTGTCCCTCCCGTGGCTGGTATTCATTCATAGCAACGTTGCATTCCTTTGGTTCAGATGAACCTTGCGGGCACATTGATCCAGATGGGCATCTGTAGGCCGCTGGCTGGGAAACAAAGCTACCCTCTGGGCAAAAGTACCCGGCGCTGCAGGCGCCCGCTTGACCAACAAGACCAGGGGCCCCACAGTAGCTGATTTCACACGAAAGCAGAGAAGTTCCTTTCCTAGTGTCAGCTAAGGATGCGCCCTGGGTGAACAAAATCACTGACGACTGTACGGTTGCCTTCTTTGAGCAGAATCTAAAACCTTTTGGATAGTAATTTATACTATACGACAGCAGACATGCTAACATGGGCGAAACTGTAGCAAGGCGGACTTTGCCCAGAATGGCACTCACCTTCCTTCGGGGCATTGCGCGCACTCTGAATCCGATGCAGCCCCTAGAGTGCGTAAGAATGTTCCCATGGGACAGGCAATCGGGGCAGAAGACCCTCCTGGACAGTAAGAACCTGCTGGACATTGCTGTGCACTTGGCTGAATGTACTCTATGGTTCCCGCCTCGCAGTACATTCCTTGTGGGCAACTCTCAGTGTGCTCCTCCCGGCCTTCCTGGCTGCATAAAGTTCCTCCTTTGCAAGGAATTGGAGTACTCGACGCCTCCGGGCAGTAGTACCCAGCAGGGCATGTTTTACAATCAGAATCTGCCATTGATCCAGGGTTTGAAAATTTGCCTCCAAGGCATGACTGGATGTCAGCTTCATCGGCTCTGAACACATCCACACCTACGGAAAGCCTGAAAGGCTCATTTTGGCTTTCCAGGATTTGAAGACTACAGACTTGAACTCAGCAAACCTTGACCTACATCGCTCCATTCGGGCAGTAGTGGCCAGGCGGACACTTCAGGCAAAGGGATTCGTTGGAAAGATTCTCTGTTAGGCCCATACTTCCAGGAGGGCAGGGTTCCTTCTCACTCGCCGCTAATAACAACAACGCATTACATGAATTTTCAGATCTTCATACTTCTCAAGAGACAGGCTGCAGCGCATGCATCAGACAAAGGCCGCCGGATGCCTACCCGCTGGGCAAAAGTGTCCTTTTGGACATGGTTGCTGGTCGAAATTGAGAACTGGATTTTTACACAAGTAGCCAGCCGGGCACGTCAGGCACTCGGCCATCCCGCTAAAAGGCGCAAATGTTCCAGCCGAGCAGTCGTCTCCAGCGACACTACCCAATGGACAGAATTTGCCGGTGGGACATAAGTTGGCAACGCGTTCAGCAGTCGTTGTGCCTTGCTGGCAGAAGAACCCCTCAGGACAGGGAGAACTGTCCAAGCCGCCTAAAGCCTCGCACACTTCTCCTGCAGGACCGGCGCATCCGAAGTCTTACATGCTTCCTTTGTTTTCGAGTCTATCACCAACTCTTTGTGTAACTGGAGTCTACGTTTGGAACATGCTCGGGTACAACGTTGCGTAGAGCCAAGGCGATACAAACAATGCCTGCTAAGCATGTCCATCGCTCACGGCTTAAACGCATACCTGCAGGGCATGCAGTGCACTCCGACTCGCTAACCTGCCCTTCAGCAAGGCCTAGCTTTCCTCTCGGGCACGGCGACGGGATTTCCCCTCCAGGGCAGTACATGCCTGGGAGGCAGGGCCCCGCCTTCTTCTTATCGTAATGTGGGTCATCTTTTGATGGTGTGGTGGAAGAGGAACCAAAAATACAATAGTATCCCTCTTCGCAATCTTGCAATGTTTTCCCAGATTCACCCTCTCTTGTGCAGGCTTTGTGAGGGGGGCACTGGTGGCAACTGCTAACTGACGAGCCATATCCAGCATTTCTGTAGGTCCCGGCCGGGCACAACCGTGGAGAAGAGGTTCCTTCGTCGGGGCAATACATACCCATAGAACAAGGATCACACTGTGACTGACCAGCTGCTACCGTCATCCACCTGCGGAGCGGAAGAGAGAACAACTGATGCACAGATGACATATCGCTATTTGTTGGTGCTGAAATGCTTTAGGGCACTTGTAGGGCCTTGGCATCCAGCCTGCCAAATATTCTGGAGGCAAATCATGTAGCGCATGCTTGGTCTCACTCTGAAGAGCCGGTCGCAACCTACCCGCTGGCACAGAGGTAACATTCACCCAGGCCCTCGTGCGGGCCAAAACTTCCAGCTGGACACTTCGTCTGCTTCGAAGAGCCCGATGCAGCGTAGTGTCCTATCTCCGCTACGTGCTGCCTGTCGAGGCAAATGACAAAGGGCGTGGGCAGCTCTTAAACTAGACAAGTGGAGACATTTGGACGGGTTAAACGTCTTAGGAGGCCACCGCGTGTGGGAGTATGTCGAGCAAAATCCCCGTTGTGAAGCTGGCTGTTGGGTTGTGTAGCCGTTCAAGCTTGGAGGCGATGCAGTCACTAATCCCATTCCCGTGCTAATTCGGCCATTTAGATCATCAACAGGAGGGCCCTGGTGCAAAACAATCTGCTAACCTAGAATTATCTGCGCTTCCTATGCAATATGCCCCCGCTTCACATTCTCCGTCAGGCTCCGTAGAATCGCTGCCAGTGCAGAAGTAGCCAGGCGGACAATCTACGCAGTCTTCCTCTCTCGAGCCTCCCCTGTTCGGATTGTATTTGCCTCGAGGGCAATAGGACTTTGTGGTAGCCCCCTGTTCAAAGAAGCAGGAAGAAACGGAAAGCACGCTATATGGCACGCTGAGATTTTCCATGCGACAACTGGGCCTTAACGGCGGCAAAAGGCAACTGACCGCTTTGCAGTAGCCTCCGGGAGTGCATAGCTCCCCGGTAACTCCGTCTGTAGGCGCATCTGATGTAGCTCGTTTGTAGCACAAGTACCTAAATTTACCAACGTAAACTCAGGCTTGTAAAAAGGTGAAATATGGTAGACTGGCTTCAACTGATTCAGAAGAAGGCAACAATTCTTTGTAGAAACATCGCTGACATGGGGCGAAGAAGCAATATTAGAGCGACTAAGCTTGGAAAGCAAGAAATTGAATGCTACCTATCCGACGAGTTTAAGCAATAGCCCAATTGCATCTGCTTGTCCACAGTAATAAGTACTTCAAGGAAGGATAAATGCGCTATCATCGCTTGAGTGTCTTACCCTGCCCTACAAGGACCTGTTGGCTCTGGAAGGCCTGCAGAATAACACCCACCCCTAGGTCCTTTCGCAAGTGAATAGTAAGTGAATAGCCTGTGACGCCTTGGTCATTTATATTGCCAAACAATTCTGTTCATGTTGACCCCTTCTCATGCGGCACTGCAGCGTCGAGCTACACGGGGACACGGGGAGAAGTACCTTCAGATTCACAGTATTTCCCAGGAGGGCAGTCCGTGCAGTCATACACAGACGCGTTCCCCGTTGTTTTACTGAATGTTCCCGCTGGGCATCTTTTCGGTTCAACTGTACCCAACTCGCAGTAGTGGCCTTCGGGGCATTTCTGTAGGGTATCGTTTTCGTCGCAATAGTAGCCTGTAGCAGAAGTTCGGTCGCATAGTGTAGTGCTACTCGTACAAATTACACAGCACCGTTTTAAGCATGTTTGAGGGCTGAGCTCCAAATGTTAGGGAAGGCATACCCTGAGGGCACTTGTCGCACTCCTCTTCACTCCTAGCCCCCTCTTGATATCTGCGAAACATCCAACTGATTGACCATCTCCGGATTTAACCGATAAACATCCTTAACGAACTGTTTGACAAAGGATGAACCAATTTGCCTTCACGATTCGTATATGATGAGGCAGGCCTTCTTGCCCGTTGTAATAGGTTGAAGCTAGCCGGCTTTGACGATAAAGCAAAGTGTGTGCAGCGCTACTTGCACTAAACTTGCCCGTATGTTCCAGCAGGGCAACGGTGCATTTGAGATGACGTTGAGCCTTCCGGACAGTAATACCCCGCTGCACAAGGCCCTTCAGCCTGTGAGAGCCCGTCTCTCGATGCATACTGCCCGGCAGAGACTGGTACGCAGGCAGATGGATCTCCCTGATAGCGAGACAGATGTCGTTCAATACTTGACTTCCAATTGAAAATGCAAAATTGAACGTATGCCAGACAGCTATGATAGTACGTACGTTTAGTTCAGTCAGGTGGCCCATACGAGGAGTTAGACTGCCTACGGATTCATGCTGACCTGGCCAGTCTTTGGATTGACGGTCCCTGCCTTACACTGGATGGGGCTTTTTGTCCCCTGCATAGGCGAAGCGCAAAGCCCCAAACTGTCAGTCATATATAGGGCAGCAAATGCTTAGGAACCGGTTAGGCTTCGTGAGCATCTTCAATGGAGTAAGCGCATCCAATATTAACGGAATAACGGCGAGTAGCATAAGCAGTAAAGCCAATCAACAGGGGTGGGGGGAAAACATGAGGGAGCACGATAAGCACAACGCGCTTATGAAGGGAGAGGTCACAACTTTACAAGTGCTCAAGGCGTGGTCTCGAACCTCCGGGCAGTAATTTCCTGCTGGGCAAGGATGGCTTGCAGGAACGGGNTGCTCAAGGCGTGGTCTCGAACCTCCGGGCAGTAATTTCCTGCTGGGCAAGGATGGCTTGCAGGAACGGGGACGGAATCGACTCCAGCGTCGCAGTATGCCCCTGCTGGGCACTTTTGCTTTTCCATTTGCTCTCTCGAAGTCCCTTCTTCCGAGCAGTAGTGGCCCGCTAGGCACTCTTCGCAGGCCGCCATACTACTGCCTCCATTAGAAAAGTATCCTCTTCCGCAAGCTAGCCGCAAGCCGTCCTCGCACTGGTAACCAGCGTCACAAGGTACACACTGTGCACTTTCACCTGAATCACCCCCAAAGAAACACAGTCTGCTAGTTAATTTTAGCTGAATGAAAGCCTGGCCCCCCTACCTGCAAAGTGCAGGAGCAACAAATGATTCGCTACGGGTATAAGGGATTGTGCCAGCACATCGTTCTAAAGGCTGAAAAGTTTGCTGGGAAAAAGAACTGGCCCGCGTTCACCATGAGCAAGCAAAAAAGCCTAAAGAGCTCTGC